CGACCGGCGGGTGGCGGGCGCGCTCGGCCAATCAGGGGGCGCGGCTGAGCCGAGCTTGCGGGTCCTGAGTTTGAAAGCAGCGCCCAGGGGTGGGGATGGGGTACCCGGCCCGAGCGAGGGGAGGACAGGGGGGACAGTAGGGTGTCCGGGAGGAAGCTTGGCAGATCAAATCCGGGGCGCTCCATCCAAGGTAATGTGTTTAGTGCCGGTATATCCCGTGTAACATACTTAAGGGCTTCATGACTTGTACACACCCCAAATTATAAGCTGTTGTCTGAAATGCAAGTTGAGTGAAGAGCCCCACTGTCGGTGGTTTGATGGGTCAGGCCACCAGTAAAAGTTGCACATGTCTAGTTACTGGGATGACAAAGAGAAACACTTAAAGTGAAGCACGGGATGGGAGTAATCTCATTTTCTGAGTTAATTTTTAGCATATCCGTAGGCAATCCCCCCTGTCCTGGAAGCTGAGATCTGAGGATCACGAGTCAAGGCCCGCCCACCCATGAAAGTTGGAGAGACTCTTCAAGTAACCAGCAGAAAGCCAGACGTGGAGCTGTGTCTCAAGTGGTAGTGCACCAGCCCGAACGAAAAAGTAGAAAGAACAGCGCCTGGCTTGGCTTGAGTTCAAGCCCAGCACACACACACACACACACACAAGCAAAGCAATAAAGAATTGCTCAGAGTTGCCAGAAACCTAAGAGAATACATAGTTGATTCTGTGTTATGCTATTTAAAAGACAGTATGATCTTGAGTTCAAACCCCAGTACTGAAATGTTTTTTTCCCCCCTGATACCCTCAATTTGTGAGTCCCACGTGTTTCCTTCTATGGAGAAAATTGCTGCGTTTTTCAATACACGTGTCTAATAGTACAATGAAAGATTACTCATAATTTTTAACTAAAAGAATTTCTTGTAACATTCTGAATAAAAGTACTATTTTTTCCCTTTGGCAGACTTATAATTTTGTTGTGTCTACTAAAGAAATTCAATTTGCATTTCTCCAACATTTGCCAAACATTTGAGAGGGAAAGATGGTTTATAAAATGTACACGGCTTCAGAGGTAAACTGACTTGTGATTTTAAGTGGATATTCTCAGAAAGCTGTAACACACATCATTTATCAAATGGGAGCTGAGCAAAGCAAATTCAGTGTCCTGGCCCAAGGTATCCTGTGCTTTCCCAAACATGAATCCCTTTAGAGTTGTCCACCAGTGAAATAAAGACTGTCTGGATTTCTTCATGATCTAGACATTCATCACCTTTGGGCCTTTTGAAAATGAAAATGTAGTATGTTGAGAGAATGCTCATCCCTCTGCTTATCTTTTCCCAGGCAGAGTCAACATACCTCTTATCTTGTGTAACCTTTCCATCAGCACTCTCTAATCTTCTCACCTTAAAGAAACACAGAGCTTTCCTCCAGCCACAGCTTCTCTCTCCAGCCTTTTTGCCTTTCTCTTCATGGCTAGTTTGCTTGAATTTAGCAACTAAAGAGATCCTGGTTTCCTGCCCGATCCCTGCACGGATGGATCTTTTGCTATGAACACTACTGGCCATCTGTTACCTAAAAAGCATTAGATATATTTTTTCATTTCTTAGTCCTGCTTCTCTCAGGCATCAACAACTTTTGATAGAGGTGGTAGTGCCTACCTTCTATTTCTCCTGCCCTACCCCAGCTCTACCTTCATGCAAGCCAGCAAACTTCTTTCATTTTATTCATTTTCCTTAGGGACAGATGTATAAGCCCAACATGCAAACACAATGCTCAGGCTTTTGCTAAGACCTTGAAGAAGCATCATGAGTCTCCAGGGAGATCTATCTTCATCATCAAGCCATTTAATCTTTGCCAACTTTTCCTCTCTCTCTAGCCTTTCAAATACTGGAAAGTATCAAGACTCAATTCTGGACCATCTTTCCTTTTTTAAGCTCTATTTCTAAATTCATTTTCACTTCTAAATTATCATCTGGTAATCAAGGCCTCTTAAATTTATATGTTTATTCCCAGATTCTCCATATATCCAAGTGTTTGTTGCACATACTTATTTGCTGGTCTCAGGCTTGTATCACTAAGATGGAGCCATATTTCTACTGAAGTCCTGTCATTACACACATTCAGTATCGCAATGAATGGTACCTCCATGACTCCTACAAATTAGGAAGAACTCATTGTGAAATATGCTCATCGGATCCTATAATTTTACCTTATAATATCTATCCTACTTTGTTTGTAGTTACATATTTCTCTGTGATAGTACTTATGCTATGTCACAATATTTCTCTTTCCATTTAAAGCACAAATTCCCTGATGACAGAGACCAAAAATGCTTCATACCTGGTTGGTATTCCAACAGCATAGGATAAATAAATGATTGTAAGAGTGAACAAATCATTCACATGACATTGGTGTCCCAATTGGAGACATTTTCTTATTGCCTAGGTATTCTCCTTTATTGAAATGTAAAACAATCCTGTGGCAAAATTTAAATCTGGTCATTTTCAAATGTAATGAAAATAATTGCACGAAATGTTAGCTACTAGGAAAAGTATTCAAGAAAAAGAACTCCCTGTAGTTACCAGCTATTGAACGTGGGTCACTAAAGGTAAAATGGCACCTTGTGTTAAACCATAGAGAAAGAACTGATAGTACTGCATAACAAGGCAAGTGGAAGGTGATTTATTCTCTGAGTTATCATAAATAAATGAAATTAACACTCTAAATTAACACTCTTGCCTGGCCTTTTTTTTTTCTCAAAATCCACTTCTGGAGTTTTTCTGGTTAACAGGAGATAAGAGTCTCTTTAATTTATTTGTTCAGGTTGGTTTCACACATATCATCCTCCTGAGTAACTAGATTAGATATGAACTACCCATGCCCAGGTTAAAACCCTCTTCACACAATTCACACACACAAAAAAAACATGTGCGCATGCATGCGTGGACACGTACACACGCACTAGTCCTAAGCTTGAACTCAGAGCTTGAACACTGTCCCTGAGCTTTTGTGCTCAAGGCTAGTGCTCTACTACTTTAAACACAGCGCCATTTCAGTTGTTAACTGAAGATATTCTGAGACTTCATAGACTTCTCTGCCAGGGCTGACTATGAACTTCAATCCTCAGATCTCAGCCTCTTGAGTAGCTAA